TCCTATTTATTTATCGTGAGGATCAAAGTTTTCTTGTAATTGTTTCTCTTGTTTTTCTGCCGCTCACCCCCTCAGCGCTGCCCTCCTCCGGGCCCCGGGCCCCTCAGCAGTCTCTCCCGGGTCCGGATCTGCCGGTTCTCCGTGGTTCTGCCTCCAGAACCGGGTCCGATCCCCCTGTGGCTCCATCTCCTGCCCGGGCTGCAGGCCTCCCTCATCCCGCTGTGAAGCATCCAGCGCTGCGCTCCGGAGGGACAACATCCAGCTGGTCCACAGACACAGCAGCCCCATCCGCATGATGAGCCGCTCAGAGACCCCCGCAGTTTGCGGCTCTGAGCTCAGATCTCTGCCCGGAGCCCGATGACACGTTCAGGTTCCCTGCTGCGGTGGGAGTTTTAACACCCTCCAAGGGCGGAGGAAACTATCAGAGGCAGGGGCGCCATATGGGGGGGGAGTTAGGACGATAAGGCCCTTGACTGAATGGGGGCCCAAAAGAAGAAAAAAAAGATTTGTCCCGCTATATTTTTCAAATATAAAAAGAAAATCCAGCAGTAAAATAAATAATCTTCATGTACTCCATGATTTTTTAGCAATAAACAGTGAAACAAAGCATGAATATATTGACCCCCGCCCTCCAGTGAAATTACAATAAATGGTTTGGTCCCCCCGTCTGTCATCAGCAGTGACGTATGGTGACAATGAAAGGACCACATTAACAACAAAATATGTAAATAAGCAGTTTGTGGCTGAAAAATGCAGCAGCCAAAAGTCTGGGTTTCAAAAAGAAAGGAGAGAGGAAGAAGACGCCCGATACCAGGACCCAGTTTTTGCGCCCTCTCTTTTTTTTTCTGAAGCTTTCTTAACTGAATAGTTCAAATTAAATATAGATTATTAACCTGTTGAGTAAAATAAGACGGCTATCTGCTAGATACACATAGTTATTCTTCCTCAATGTCAGAGGGGAATCACATCATTAATGATGCTTCTCAGCTGGGTTCTGTCTGAAATGGAGAATGATTGCAAGTTTTTATTATTATTATTATTATTATTATTATTATTATTATTATTATTATTATTATTATTATTATTATTATTATTATTATTATTTTGTTGCTTTGTTTTTCATTTTCAAGAAAAAAAAAACTGTATTAATCCAGCGTTTATTCAGCCAATTGTGTGTCTGTAAATAACAAAAGGCCAAACAACTAAGCCAGAAATCTCACAGAGCTAAGAAATTGACCTTTACCAAGCAGACCAGGCAACAGAAAAACACCACAGTTATCACAGGTTTAACATTAGCTAAACACTACTAGATGTTTAAGATATTTCACATTAAATACAATCTGTGTCAATATTAAAACAGTTTAGTTAGATTTATATATTCAGATTAAATTACAACAGTTAAAAGGCATCTATAAATCTTGAACATTCTCATGAGCAGCCTGAAGCAGCCACATAAAAAAATACATGTTTTTTTCATTACAGGCAGAGATAAATGAAAAATAAGATCTCAGGGCCAGCATAAAAATAATCTGTCCTTCAATAAAGTTACAGTGAAACCTAATCGGAATATATGTTCTCAACCCAAAACCTATTTTCTATTCATGTGTACATGGATACAGCTGTGTTTTTTTGTTTTAAATAAGCTGTTATCTTGATAGGATGTAAATGTAAAGTTTAAAGTAAATGTATATTTAACTTTTTCACATTCCTTTGTAGAAATATTAGACAGGGGCAACTAGACAGGGGCCAACGGGGGGCCAATGCCCCTATATATCACGTCCTGGCCCCTGTTATGGCCCCTGTACTGAAGACATAATACTCTTCTAATGATGATATGCGCTGGAACAGATAATAGTTACTGATAGGTCCTTTGGATCTATTTCCTTTTTTTTTCTTTACAAATTCTGTTTTACTAATTATTTAAAAACAATAAGGTGATAGCTTCAGTGGTACTGAGATAGCATCCAAATTTACATCTGCTAATTTTTTTTTTAAACAAATACAAAAAACTACTTCAATTTTTATAGCTGAATTTATCAATTTTTGTTATAGAAATATATATATAGAAATATAGATACTGCCAATGATCTGCATGATGGCGCACATGATGGGAAATAAATATTTATAAACATTAAACCAAAGCCAAGAGTAACGCGTAACGTTTGTTTTAAAAATGTTAGGAATAGAAAGTACAGATAGTTGTGTGAAAATGTAATGAGTAGAAGTCAGAAGTAGGAAGGAAAATAATTAATGGAGTAAAGTGTAGATACCTAAAAAAGTGTACTTAAAGCTACAGTGTGTAATAATTACAGGGATATACAGTCAGAAATGTAATATATTATACATAACTATGTTATTTTATCATCATCTACGAGCTCTGCCTCTTAACCTTAATATTTACGTTGCCTTAGAATTCGTTATTTATAATTACATAGGAGCGGGTCTCGCAGCCATGGAGGCAGAC